CTTTAGCCGCCAAAATCCTCACGAGGCATAGGTGATACTCAACAGCGACGGAACGCTGGGTTTGAATAGGTAAGGCTGAGCGTGGGCAGGGAGTTATTACCCTAAAATTCCAGCTTCCTAGACCTCGTGGTTCCCGAAATAATAATTTACCCGTAAAAACTTTCACTAGCCCGCAGGTGATAACCGAGAGCGCGGGAACACTGAATTTGAATGAGCAAGGTTGAGCGTGGGCAGGGGGGTCATTACTCTAAAATTTCAGCCTCCCGGACTCCGTGGTTCCTGAGATATTAATTTACCCGTAAAAAACTTTCACGGGGCCGTACGAGTTACCCGCGGGTACGGGGAGGCTGAATTTAAATTTGCCGCGTCATCCGTTGGCGGGGGACACTATATCAAGATTTCAGCCGCCCAGCTTTTGTGGTTCCCGAGTTGAAAGTGCGAGACAAAATGTGGAACACACACACACACACACAGACAACCCCGTGACAATATGCGTTTTGTAACGCTGTTAAACAGCACGAAACGCATAAAAAACAAAAAAATCAGTCAGAATATGTCGAAACATATTCAGAGCAAGGAAGTAGGCCCAGAATTAGCAAAATCACAAAGATATGAGGCCGAAACTGAAAGAATAAAAGTGAGGGAATAGAAGAGAGGAAGGAAATCTCCCCAACTACTACCTCAATGTACTTGGAAGTGGCCCGAACAATTGCACTTTGCCAATAGCAGTCATCCGTCGATGGCCCTCCTTTGCGGCGGCCTGTCTAGCATGATGTTGATTCGACCGCTTACAAAGGCACCAGCAGTAGTCCGACCGCCATATTTCACAATCCGAGCTCTGCCGTAGCATACCACAACTGCCAGCAACGCCAAACCCCTCAACCAGCTGAAGGCAAGGCCGGGAAGTGCGCCGAGGAAGAAAGGTCCTAGAACCTCCCTCCCCCCCTTCCCAATCGGCTTCCTTTCGGCCCACTTCAGCCACTTCACAATCCTCATTTGGCCACAATCTCCTCACAGGCCCTCACTAGGTATAAACCGTTCTTACCAGCCCCTCATAAATTCAACTGTCCAGTCAAACCCTCTGCCCAGCAGGGTCTCTGCTGATCAAAGCACTCCTGCCCTCAAAGCTCCTGCTAACCACATGCCTCAGGCCGCCCCAATCCCACTCCCCCCCCCATAATAGCATCATCAATCTCCGGAACCATTGTATGAAACCGCAGACCCGCTGAAAAGAACGGTTACTAAAGTTCGGTCGGGAGCCGTCGGGTTAAGGGGGTGAGTTGCGACGATTGTGGTGTGCCCTTCCAGGTGCGGATAATGGCAGAAGTCAGTGGGGGTGGCGGGCTTGGCAGAAGGTCGCAACGAAGGGGGAGGGGGGACGGATGAAGAGGAATAATGACTAGAA